GGGGGGGCAACTGGGGGGAGGCGGTGGCGGCGGCCGCGGTGGCGGTGGACCGGGTAGTCCACGCTATCCGCGGTCTGGGCCTCCGGGTGTCCCCCGAAAAGTCCGAGGCCGTGTTTTTCCACGGCGGACGCGGGGGACACCCGGAGGCATATATTAGGGTGGGGGGGTTTCCCGTCAGGGTGGGGCCGGGTATGAAGTACCTGGGGCTCCACCTTGACGGGAAATGGAGCTTTGAAAAGCATTTTGAGGGGTTGGCCCCACGGGTGGCGAGGGCGGCGGGCGCCCTTGGGCGCCTGATGCCCAATCTGGGGGGGCCCAGCGTCGGGGCACGCCGGCTCTACGCGGGGGCGCTGCAGGCCATGATCCTGTACGGCGCCCCCGTGTGGGCCGGCAGGGCGGCCGAGTCCCCATTGGTGGCTCGGCTGCTGCGGGCGGTGCAACGGCCAGTTGCCTTGAGGGTGGCGCGCGCATATAGGACTACATCCTATGTCGCGGCCACCCTCTTGGCGGGCCTTCCACCCCTGGAGCTCCTGGCACTCAAGTACCGGGAGATCTTCCTGGCGGTGCGGGAGCTCCGGGGGAGAGGGGACCCCGTCTCCGCGGGTGCTATCCGGGAGGTGAAGAGGAGGGCGCATGCCTCCTTGCTGGAGGCGTGGAGTGCCCGCCTCCAGGCGTGGGGACAGCAGCGGGGAGGAGAGGGGGGGGTGGTGCGAGCCATCCTCCCCAACTTGAAGGGGTGGCTGGAGAGGGGCTTTGCCCCCTCCTTTCACGCGACACAGGTGCTCACCGGGCACGGTTGCTTCGGTGAGTACCTGTGTCGCATTGGGCGGGAGGCATCCGCGCGATGCCACCATTGTGGGGACGAGAGGGACACGGCGCGACACACCCTGGTGCAATGTCCTGCGTGGGGTGTGGAGCGCCGTGCCCTCTCTGCTGTGGTGGGGTCGGATGTGGGGCTGCCGGCCATTATGAGTGGGGCCGTCGGGGACCCCGCAGTGTGGGCGGCCTTCTCCGTCTTCTCCGGCAGCGTAATGCGGCGTAAGGAGGAGGCGGAGAGGGCCAGGGAACGGGAGGGCCTTCGGGTAAGAAGGAGGCCGGAGGAGGATGGTCGTGTGGGGGGTGGCGGCCTCCCTCCGATAGTCGGGGGGAGAAGGAGGGGGAGACGCGGTGCTTCCGGGCCTGCGGGCCGAGGCGTGGCGCCGCGGCCGCGACTCGTGCCTGGGAGCGGCGCGTGTGTCTGGCGCGGCCGCGCAGAGGGGGAAGGGGTATGCGGCGGCACGGGGTGGGAGGTGCGCCGGAGGGGATACCCCTCGGCCCG